AGTTTACTAGTCCAGGGCTGTCAAAAAGTCTTTAAGTAGCAGGCTGATAATGAATAGTAGGCGGCTTTGGAACTTGCAACAAAGACACAAGTTCTTGAGGGCCGCGGCAACTAGGTACATTTTGATATTTAGACCCTCGGAAATGGCATTTCCAGGGGTTTTCAAGAGCTATTTTCCACCACGGACACCATGTTGTTTGGTCATAATACATGCAGGACTGGGAACAATGTTGCGAAATGTCCCAGGTGTTCCACGACATCGCACAGTTTGAATGATTCACTGGTCTAAACCTGTTTAAATTTGCAGTCAATGTCATTCAAAACTGGGAAATGGATGCTTTACAATTTTATTCAGTGGTGCCTATGTTTTGTTAGCAGTTATAGTAGAAGGAGATGAAAGTAGCTGGCCAAGGATGGCTCACGAGCTGGCAGTTTAGGCCAGCTACCGGCCCTTATTGACAGCCCTGCTAATCTCTGTCATTGAACGAAGTTATTAGTATTATCTATATTATTATCATAATTACACATTTTGTCCTTCATTACCAGGAAATACATTTTCAATAGCATCGAAATATCAGTCAATATAATGAAATGTGAAATCATCGCAGAAAAATAAACGATTGTTTTAATTATTTGTGTGATCAGTAAAGGATTTTACATATGCAAGAACATTCATTAATGCAAATATCGAATTTTTTATCTGCAAGTTTGAAGTCAATCGTGACCGTAGAACTCGCTGCACAAATAGCTGGTCAAATTTAACCATAAAATGCAACGCAAACACATTTGTGAAGGGTGGGTAGACAACAAAGACCCAAGACCTAAGACCCAAAAACGAAGACCCCCCTCAAAATCACTTATAAATATCTAGAAACGGTATCTCGACCTTAGATGTGTAAGAAACAACAATATCTTTAATTATGCAAAATTTTAAACAGGGTCTTTTTCTGAAAGTTGATGCATGAGTAGAGGAAAACTGCCAGCGGACTATCTCCCATCGGCAAGGGTATTCTTGCCCAAAGCTTCAGTTGTAAGAAACTGAATAATCAGAAACATATGGCAAATACAGTTCGCAAGACAAGAAGAACGACTTTATTCTGAATGCAGGGGAAAGATAAAACAATTTCTATCTATCAAACTTACTTTGTATTTGTCCCTCTCTTTTCGAAACCTATCTTAGCAAGGCAAATTATATTATCTACGAAAAACTCTTAACAGTTTTTAGTGTCACAGGTTTCACTTTTGAGCAGAAACAAAGCTATCAACTCCAGTACCTCTAACCGTCCATTTTTATGTTTCTCTCATCCAGATCAGATGCATTATGCCACAAAAAGACAGGATCAAGTCTTCAACATTTAGGCTTTAGAGGTTATCTTAAGTACCATATAGATTACTTTCAAATCCAGCTCTTAAGTGAGTTGCTAAAATCCTTATTTTTTTACTCTAGTTAAGCTTGTTTTCTAACCGGATGGTCTACAAACATTATTTCAAGGCGTATTTTGTTAAAAAATAAGCAAAGAAGAAACTTCCAATTTTTGACCAAATTCATGGGTTAACC